GCTATGGTTATTATGTAACTAATAATAATTTAAAAACTTCGTTCTAGTCGAGTAACATTGGTTGCATAATCCATAGTCAGAAAGCTTGTCTTCTTCTCGGTATTCTGCATAGGTAAACTTGTCAACAAAGTAAGACAAGGTTTCCGAGGTAAAGGTTGAATAGTTCGACCTAAAGCTACCAGGTTTTCAATTATTTTTTTATAAGATTGATAGTGATAAATATTTTTTTGTGATAGTCGAATGAGCAAACATTTGTTTTTCTGACATTTTGTAACTTAATTTAAGTCATTTCTTCAGAGTAAATTTTAACCTCACTAGTTCACATTGCAAATTGTACATTTTTTCATACCTTACCATCATGCGCACAAATAAATACAGTGATCTGTCATTATACAGAATCACCTTGACCAAAAATAACATGACATTGACATGTTCAGACCTATTATAATTTTGATTGTTCTAAAAATGTTCTTCATTGTTTCTTTTGTCTTATTTAAACTTGTGTTAATTTAGTTTCGATTATTTATATTTACTCTGAAGAAGTGGCTTACACTAGATCACGAAACGTCAGAAATACAAATTTCTATTCATTGGGAGATTTTAAAAATATATTTACTATCACGTTTCTACCCAATATTTAATTTACTTGAAAATATTAAGTCCAAGCTTGGTATTCATACATAAAAGATTGATGTTTCGGAGGTGAAAGGAAAACTTTGAAGCCACATGATGAGAAATAGTTTTCTAGTTACCTTTCCTGTTTAAAACAGTGCCATAATCCAAGCTTCTTTTCAAACCCAAATACAATCTCAAAAGTTATCAAGCAAACCAAAATCTTATCAGGTAATTTAATTCATAAACAATAATTACGAGGGATCTCTTAAAAGTACTTATTTCATCATACCACTAATCACTTACCAAGCATTTTATCTTTGCTCACTTGAGCCAGTGCTATTCCGAATGAAGGCTGTCCTTTACCATCATACTGTTCAACATTCCATTCCCAATAATGAATACCTTCTGAGAAGCAAACATCACCCAAGAGAACACGATCTTCTAAATCTCCTTGAGCACTGATTGTACATCCATCAGATGATAGTTTTAGACCACTAATAGGTGGAGCAGGTCCAGATAACGGATTCATAACAAATGATGCAACTGTATAAATAAAAATAAAGGTTAAAAAAATAAATCTAGGTACTAGTTATAGGCGATCAAATAAATTAAAAACATAAGATTTAAAGTTTGGTCGCTAGAGTACATATGAACACAAAGCTATTGAACAAGCAATAGTGAAGATGGGAAGTTATATAATGTAGTTTTTAAGATACAGTATGGATCTAGTATATAAAAATATTTAGGAACTTATGGATTTCTGATTAGTGATTTTTAAATTACGAAAGTATTGGCTTTTAATTATTCTAAAGTCACATCATGAATTGACAGAGTAAATGGAAGTAAAGAATTTATGCATTCACAATACATGCACATATGTTAGAGATGCGAAATACAATAACTTTGATGTAAAATATAATTAGAAGTTTATACCACACCTTTGATTTGTGTGTAAACCTGATGGGCTCTATATAGTTTATTGTACGAAGAAGGGAACGAAGACTGCTAGACGTCAAGATATGGATACAATGAAATATAATAATTAGCGAGGTGTTTTTGTATTTTGATTACTCCTAAAATTCGTTATGAGAATTTTCAAAGTCAACCAATGATTGACATCTTGAGTACAGCTTCAGAAGAAAATGAAGCTAGGATAAACTTTATGAACATATAATGGAGTGAATGAATAACTAAAATAAAAAGATTGGTCGATTATTTTCTTCTTTCTGATTGGTAGCAGAAATAGAGATCCGTATAAAAATCAAACAGATAAAAACTCATCAAATAGAGGAAATGTTAAAATCAGGTATCATCTGTTAAAACAAACAGAAAGAAAGCTAAAGTGATCATTTATAGTTGCTCCTAAAATTGTTAATGAACGATCTGATAGTTCCATTTTTATATGAAAAAGAACTGAAGGTAACTAAAGTAAAAAGATCTACACGTGTAAGTTTTAAAATGGTTGGCGAGCATTAAAACAACCAGAATATTCACAAATTGAAATGCAAATATTTACGAACAGATCGAAATTCCTTAGTTTCAAAGCCATTCCGAATTTTAATAGTTGAACTCATAAATCGATCTAAACTAGACCATCATTGAAAATATGGAAACACTGTACGGCCGTTCCGTCCTAATGCGGGACTCAACAGTGCGCATCCACGATCCCGTGTATGTGGCATCCGAACTCAGGACCTTCGATCTCGCGCGCGAACACAACCTCTGAACCATTAAGCTGACACCCGACGGTGTTAATGTCTAACTTCAATCGATCCATAATCTTGCGCAACCCTTCACTCATTGTCTGGGGTAGAAACCTGTCTCTATCCGACACAGATTGAACTCCACTTGGTTACGGCTTCCCAATAGAACTCATGAATCTAAATATTAAAATTACTACAATATCCGCAAACCCCATTCTGATGATCTTCATTTCGAATTTCGTAAAATACAGTCGAAATGTACGCATGAGAATATCTTTGAACTATTGCCGAATGGGCGTTTCCGAAAGGTGTACATGGGTTCGATTTACAATTTAACAAACTTCTATTACTTAGATTCTATAAAATTCCTTCTAAAAGTATATAGGATGTATTTTTTTACTTACGACGAGCTGTTTTTATTGCAACAATATCGCTATAAGCACTTTGAGCAATTCCATTTGTAGATCGAATACGAAAGCGATAAGTTGTATTTAAATGTAAACCTTCGACTCGACAAACACATTCAGGTCCTGTGTAGACAACCTGTAAAAAAAATAAATAGGTTGTTCGAATTACTCACCACTAAATAGGTGTTAATCATTATCTAGTTCAGAACAAGTTGATTAAACCGTATTTCTCAGCATTGTATCATATGTTTTGATATATCAATAAAGGCAGAAAGTATCGGTGTGTACTCATGGTAAGCATTAAAATAATTTTATGAATATTTAAAGTAGTAGAATAGAATCTACTGAACATAACTAAGACTAGAACATTGATAAGTCAATAACAGAGTAGAATTCCAATTTAAAAAATTATTGAATGGGACACTTGCATTACTCATACTGTGGTGTATGCTACTTATGCTGACAGATATAAGTTTTCGATCACTACATTTCGAGTCGCTGCAAAGTAGAGGCGCAGAAGGCGAAATTCTGCGGACACTTGTAGGGCCAGGAAAGGAATAGTTAGTTGGTGTGGTCTGGTGCAGGATGGAGACGTTGAGCGTAGTGTTCCGTCAGGGCAGCATTAGATGTAGCAGTCACTGTTGACGGGAAAAATGGGACGGCCGGTTGCTGGGTGCACAACGGATTTAGATGACCCGGCAAGTCGACATTGTTACAGGGCCAGAGCGCCGGCGTCAAGGAAGAAAGAGGCACGGTGTACAGAGCGACTGCAAGAGTGGCTTTAGTTTAAGGGGAAAGTGTGGTGCATGCTAATTAGGCTCAGAGATACAAGTAGTATGTAACCGCAATCGGAAATCGAATGCCTGGAAGCAGAAGACTGAATTGAAGAGAACAAAAATGAAATTGGAGAGAAATCAAAATAACATTAAAATCAGAGGAATAATGGGGTAGGTAAAGGACAACGCAAAGAAGATGTGCAGATGATGCGTTTAATCTATGATTTTTGTATTTTGCTAACTAACTGTGTAACATTGCATTAAACAATGAGATTGGTTCACTCTACCCGAATTCCCGGTTACTATAGTAACCATAAGCTTTGTTGTTAAGTCAGCTTAGTGTACTTTTAACAGGATAGGGACACACATTTTAAAATTAGGTATTATGTCTGTTAGTCGTAGGACATTGAAGAGTTCCAGATCAACTGTTGTTTAGTGCTTATCGTGTTCTATAACGTAATTTGATGTGATACTAAAGTAATTGTCTGGGTGATGATATTCAACTTTGCTTAAGCTTCAGTGTTAAATGAGGTTCATTTAGATTACATTGAAAATCCTAAAGTACACAATGAAGATATAATGATAAGCTTTAAAATGGACAAAACACAGAGTAGAAAAATGAATACATTCCTAACTCCTACAAATACGGTAAGATTTATTTAGTGGATTAAATCCACAGTACATTATATTTTTAAATCATTTCATCTTATGAGTAATTTTTCTTGAATACAAAGTTAAAATTATTGGGTTAGTTTGAGACACATAACATTTTCGGTTTCAGGACAATTTTTATGTATTAAATTCGTATTCGATAGTAAAATGCTTATCTTTAATTTAAACAATTCATAGAAACTATAGGAAAAGAAAGATACTGGCTAGCAGCGGAATCCAGGATCCGCGTTTTGTCCTATTCGGGACTCGTCAGTTGGATGTATCTGCATCTTAGGGTTGGTGTTCACTCTGGAACTCGAACACAGTACCATTCGCTCCAAACGCCATAACTTTATCCACTTAGCTACTGAGTCCGGTACTGGGTTCGATGCAGGTACATCCAACTGACGAGTCCCAAATAGGACGAAACGCGTGTCGTGGATTCTACTGCTAACCACGATCCATCTTTGTTCAGGATGCTTGTGAATTAAGAAAATATAGAGGCAATGTGCATATATGCAAATAAGAGACTGATCAATTGCAGTGGTAAAGATCAATGGGAAGATTCAAGTAAACAATACCAAGTGAATTTATGGAAACTTTTAAAAATTTTTGTTTGTTAATTCATAGCAGTCGGCTTCCGGAGAACTTCAACGGAGCCTCCAGAGGCCCACAATGGAGCCGAAGAGTCCTAGCCAATCAGAGTGTGATGGAACGTTCTAGAATTCCAACGTGGCGTGCTACTATTGGTCGGTAGCGTAATGTGTTGTTATCGGATTGGCTGTAAAATGATGTTGATTTAACAGATGCCAAAATCTATAAATACCCATGATTTTCTGTACAAGAATGAACCTTGGGATAAAGAATTTTCTCTTATACTCGTGTCTTCTCTTTGGTGTTCAAGTCGCTATGTAGTTCTAGAGTGCGGGTTACCGAAATAGCTTAGGAATCGTATATAGCATTCAACCTACACGACTTATCAGTGGCGACGGAGATGAAAACTACAATGAATATTTCCTTGAAGCAATTAGAAGCCTATATGGCGCGTCAAGAAAAGAGAATTGAAGAGTCCCAAATTAGAATCATGGAAACCCTGATGCAGAAATTCTGCCTGTCCCAGCAAAATCCTGCTTCTAGTGAACCTCAAGTATCACATATTGATTCAGTCATTAATGCCATTCATGAATTTAATTTTGATGGTTTAGCAGGTGTGACTTTCGAGTCCTGGTTTAAGAAGTATGAAGATTTGTTTTATATTGATCTTTGCAAACTGGATGATGCTTCAAAAGTGAGAATACTTCTTAGAAAACTTGGGACTATGGAACATGAACGCTATAGCAACTTCATTCTTCCGAAGAACCCACGAGATTTTAGTTTTGATGATACAGTCAAAACCCTGTCCCAAATCTTCGGAGAACAATCATCGCTATTTAACATCCGTTATCAGTGCTTAAAGTTAACGAAAGAACCAGGCGATGACTGGGTGAAACATGCAGGAACTGTGAACCGAGAATGTGAGAGGTTCAGATTGTCGTCCATGTCGGAAGATCAGTTCAAATGCTTAGTATTTATCTGCAGCCTGAGTTCACCCGAAGATGCCGATATCCGAACAAGAATCCTAAGCAAACTTGAACACTGCCCTAACATGACCCTGCAAGAAGTGACTGCTGAGTGCCAAAGGTTAGTAAACTTAAAGCATGATACTTCAATGGTAGAAAAAGGTAACTCTTTCCATAACGTTAATGCAGTCAAGAGAAAAGTCTATCAAGGTTCCAGTACCCATAGTTATCGAAATAACAGCGACAAACCACCATCTCCATGCTGGGCATGCGGAGGTTGGCACTATAAGAGGTTTTGTCCATATAAAGAACATCGTTGCATCAAATGTCATCGGAAGGGTCATAGAGAAAACTGCTGCAGAAAAAGAAGCCATAAACAACATTCTTTGAAACCTTACTCGAAGAAATATAGATATAGTGCTCAAACCAACAAGATATTGGTATCACATAACAGAGCACAAAGTTGCCACCAAAGAAAGTATGTGACCTTGAATATTAATAAACGCCGAACCCGCCTTCAGCTTGACACAGCTTCTGATATTACCTTAATCAGCCCTGTAACATGGAAGAACATCGGAAGACCCACAATTTTCCCAACGACACAGGTGGCACACAGTGCATCCGGGGGGAAGTTACAAATTGTTGGAGAAGTGCTATGCACTGTTTCTAAAGGTATGGTAACAACAAATGCAACATTGTATCTTACTAAGAAGCCAGCACTAGACTTAATGGGGTTGGATCTTATAGAAACGCTTAAACTAGCTGATCATTCTATCAACAGCATCTGCAGACGAGTAAGTACAGACAACACCCCAGTGGGGAGCCAGAAAAACGCTATGTTACAAAGACACCAAGACGTTTTTAGAGAAGGATTGGGAGAATGTACGAAGGCCAAAGCACTGTTAACTCTAAAGCCTGCAGCTACTCCCGTTTTTCGACCTAGGAGACCCGTACCATATGCTGCTTTACCAGTGGTTGAACAAGAACTAGAACGACTTCAGAAACTCGGTGTCATTGAACCAGTGAATTTCTCAGAATGGGCCGCACCGATAGTAGTAGTAAAGAAGACTAATGGTAACGTTCGTTTATGTGCCGATTACTCTACCGGTTTGAATGAAGCTTTAGAAACTCATCAGTATCCATTACCCTTGCCTGAAGATCTTTTTGCTAAACTGAACGGAGGTAAGCTTTTTGCAAAGTTGGATTTATCAGAAGCTTATTTACAAATCCCTGTTGCTGACGAGTCTAAAAACCTGCTTACCATAAACACACACAAGGGTCTATTCAGGTATAATCGACTACCCTTCGGAGTCAAGACGGCCCCATCCATATTTCAGCAAATAATGGATACTATGCTACAAGGTGTTTCAGGTGCTGCAGCTTACCTAGATGGTATAATAATTATGGGTGTAGATAGAGTAGACTTAGAAAAGAAGCTTGACCAGGTGCTGACGCGAATAGCCGAATATGGACTTCGACTTCGTCCAGAGAAATGCGACTTCTGTATACAAAAAGTACGCTACCTTGGGTTTATAATCGACAAAGATGGAAGAAGACCAGATCCGGAGAATACCCTGGCAGTGAAAACTATGCCTAGACCGACGGATGTCCCCACACTACGATCCTTCTTGGGACTAGTTAGCCATTATGGAGCTTTTATTCCGAACCTTCATCAATTACGTGCCCCCCTGAATAACCTTCTGGTGAAGAATGTAAAATGGAATTGGTCTGCAACTTGCCAAGCCGCTTTCGATGAAATCAAGAAAGTACTAGTCTCGGATCTGCTACTCACACATTACGATCCATCCTTACCCATTGTAGTGGCATCAGACGCCTCGAATTACGGCATTGGAGCAGTTATTTCTCACGTCATGCCAGATGGATCTGAGAAGGCGATATCACATGCAGCTAGATCGTTAACTTCAGTAGAACGTAATTACAGTCAGATCGAGAAGGAAGCATTATCGATTATCTTCGCTGTCAAGAAATTTCACAAGATGATATTTGGACGTCAGTTCACCCTATTAACTGATCATAAACCATTACTAGCCATCTTTGGGTCAAAGAAAGGTATACCTGCATATACTGCAAACAGACTGCAACGCTGGGGAACTACACTCTTGGGTTATGACTTCAAGATCAAGTACCAGCCCACTACTGATTTTGGACAAGCTGACGCTTTATCTAGACTGATTGGGTCACAAGTAAAACAGAAAGAAGACACTTTGGTGGCAGCAATCGAGACGGAAACAGAAGTACATCGAGTTTTGGAAGACGCAGTTGACGGATTACCAGTTACTTTCAAGGCCATCAAAGAAGCCACTGTAAATGACAAGACTTTAAGAGAAGTTAGTGATTATCTTCTCACCAAATGGCCAAACAATCGCCTCGACGGAGAACTTCTGCAATATTTTCGTCGACGGGACTCTCTAATGGTTGTTGACTCCTGTATTATGTTCGGTGACCGCATTGTTGTTCCGAAGTCATTACGTCACAAGATTCTCAAGCAATTTCACAGTGGTCATCCTGGAATCAGTAAAATGAAATCTTTGGCTCGTAGCTATGCTTATTGGCCGTCAATGGACAAAGATATCGAGAATAAATGCCGTAACTGCTCATCATGCATTCAAGCCGCTAAAAATCCTTCGAAATGCGAACCCCAGTGTTGGCCTATGCCCGCGGGACCTTGGGTAAGACTTCACGCAGATTTTGCCGGTCCAATTCAAGGAAAAATGTTTCTGATTATCGTAGATGCATTCACTAAATGGCCGGAAGTATACATCATGCCAAATTGTACAACGTCAGAAACGATCCGCAAGTTGTCTACCCTATTTAGCAGTTTCGGAGTACCAGAAACATTAGTGACGGATAATGGCTCTCAATTTGCCGCAGAATCGTTTAAACATTTCTGTAGAACAAACGGAATAAATCATCTTCGTTCTCCACCCTATCATCCACAATCAAACGGACAAGCAGAGCGCTTTGTGGACACTTTTAAACGAGCATTACTCAAAGGGGGAGGAGAAGGGACAACTGAACAGGTGATCACAAAATTTTTAACATCATATAGATCCACCCCAAACCCAAATGTTCAAGACGGCAAATCTCCCGCGGAAGCCATGTTTGGAAGGCGTATTCGAACGGTCTTCGATGCCATGTTGCCATCCAAACGAGTGAGTGAGCGTAGTCACGATCCAAGTATCCGGAACTTCAGTATTGGCGACAAAGTCTACATTAAATCCTATGTCGGAAAGAACCGGTGGGAGCCAGGCGAAGTTGTGCAAAAACTGGGAAGAGTACTGTACAGAGTTCGAGGAGCTTTTGGGACATGTATACGTCACACAAATCAAATCCTTAAGGACAAAAGAACGGTGCAGACTCGAAACGCACCAATGCCGCGAACGCCCAGGAACACTGAAAAGAAGCCTTGGACAAGAAAAACGACAATGGGACGCCGTCGCAATCCAGTTATCAAACTTCAAGTGGATCCCAGAAAGAAATCTTATTCGGGGGAGGTGTTGGGTCGGCTTCCGGAGAACTTCAACGGAGCCTCCAGAGGCCCACAATGGAGCCGAAGAGTCCTAGCCAATCAGAGTGTGATGGAACGTTCTAGAATTCCAACGTGGCGTGCTACTATTGGTCGGTAGCGTAATGTGTTGTTATCGGATTGGCTGTAAAATGATGTTGATTTAACAGATGCCAAAATCTATAAATACCCATGATTTTCTGTACAAGAATGAACCTTGGGATAAAGAATTTTCTCTTATACTCGTGTCTTCTCTTTGGTGTTCAAGTCGCTATGTAGTTCTAGAGTGCGGGTTACCGAAATAGCTTAGGAATCGTATATAGCATTCAACCTACACGACTTATCACAGGATGCTTGTGAATTAAGAAAATATAGAGGCAATGTGCATATATGCAAATAAGAGACTGATCAATTGCAGTGGTAAAGATCAATGGGAAGATTCAAGTAAACAATACCAAGTGAATTTATGGAAACTTTTAAAACTTTTTTTGTTTGTTAATTCATAGCAGTCGTTCCACAAATAACGCAGCATCAGCAATTAGAATAATGTATTGCTAAAGAAGTTATACAACAATAATGGTATCTTGGGCTGTTGATTATTTCGACTATATTCAACAATAACTCCGCCTATAGCTCTCCTAGAGTTACTACCAGTGCCAAGTCAGGGTAAAGGGAGAGGGTTAGGCATGGGGTCGACAACCTCATCCCGTATAATAAAAATCTTGCTAATAAACACTAGCCAGATTAAACTATTTAAACTCTGCCCTGAAAGTTGAAGGAAAAATTATGACGCCTCGGGATGAAAGCCGAAGTTCTTCGGCAGTCACGAGGCCGATGCTCCCTCTAACAACTGGAGCAGCAATTTTTATAGCTACATGGAACGTCCGGACAATATAAGAGACTGGGAAGACCAATCAAATAGCAACGGAAGTGAGGAGATACAACTTGGCAGTACTCGGAATCAGCGGAACTCATTGGACCGAAGCTGAATAGAAAACGCTAGATACGGGAGGCTGTTGTACTCCGGTCACGATGAGGAAAATGTTCCACACACTCAGAGAATTACTGTGGTACTTTCAAAGAAGCACGAAATGCACTTATAGGATGGGAATCTCACGGGTCCAGGATCATAAAATCATCCTTTAAAACAAAGAAGGTAATCACGATGAATGTTTTCCAGTTCTATGAGAGGCTGAAATCAATCATAGCGAAGTGCATCATCATAAAAAATAGATCTCTATCGAAACCCAAAACAAGATTCAAGTGGAGAAGAACAAAAAGACAGTAGCTAACAAAAGCCGAACAAGAGCAGAGAAAGTCAAAGCACAAGCTGAATACACTGAAGCAAACAAGCAAGTGAAGTAGAGCATTACAGCTGACAAGCGGAAATACATAGAAGACATAGCAGCGACAGTGGTAAAAGCTGCAAGAGAAGGAAATATGAAAAAAGACCATATGACACAACGAAGAAACTAGCACGGAAATATAGTGAGCCAGAGAAACCAGTCAAGTACAAAAAAGGTAAAACAACCACCGAGATTCAAGAACAGAGAAACAGGTGGGTAAAACACTGAAAAACTATTGAATAGGCAAGCCCCATTGAATCCACTGGAAATCGAAGCAACACACACAAACCTTCCTGTAGCTATCACTCCATTAGCGATCGAGGGAATCAGTGTCCATCAGACAGTTCATGAGTGAGATAGTAGCAAGACTAGTCAACACACCAGCAGAGGAACTAAAGTCAGACATATAAGTAACTGCTAAGATGTCCCACGCTCTATTCAGGAAGATTCATGAGGAAGAACGAGTACCAACGGACTGAAAAGAAGGATTCATCATCAAGATACCAAAGAAAGGAGATCTGAACAAAAGTGAGAACTACAGAGGCAGTAGACGCCTAACTTCAAGACCAACAGGCTGGATTCCGTAAGGATCGATCATCTGCCAACCGAATCGCTACAATACAGATCATTTTTGAACAAATAATTGAATGGAACTTATAACTATACATCAACGTCCTTCATTATGAGAAAGCATTTGACAGCGTGGAAAAAGGAACATTATGAAACCTTCTTCGACACTATGGGGTATCTGAGAAGATCATCAACATTATACGGAGTTCATACGACAGACTATACTGCAAAGTTATGCATGGAGGATAGATGACAGATGCATTCCAAGTGAGGACCAGTGTCAGAAAAGGCTGACTACTCTTCTCCTTCCTCTTTTTTCTGGTGGTCGACTGGGTTATGAAGACATCGACATCTGAGAGGAAGCACGGGATACAATGGACAGCTCGGAATCAATTAGAAAATCTGGACTTCGCAGTTGACCCTGTCTTTCTATCCCATACACACCAACAAATGCAGATGAAGATAACTAGTGTAGCAGAAGCTTCTGTATCAATAGGCCTCAATATACACAAGGGAAAAAATAAGATCTTCAAATACAACACGGAGAACATCAACCAAATCACAATTGATGGAGAAGTTCTGGAAGATGTGGGATCTTTCACGTTCGTGGGACGCATCACCGATGAACGGGGAGGATCCGATGTAGACGTAAAGGAGCAATTCGGCAAAGTAAGGAAAGCATTCCTACAATTGAAGAATATATGGAAATCAAAACAAATGTCTGTAAGCCAACATCGAAGTCAGAATCTTCAATACGAGCGTCAAGACAGTCTTACTGTTCGGCGCTGAAACTCGGAGAACTACTACAACAGTCATCAAATATGTACAAGTATTTATAAATAGTTTTCTACGCAAGATACTCAATATCTGTTGGCCGGATACCATCAGCAACAGAGTTCTGCGGGGGAGACCAAATCAATTTCCAGCTGAAGAGGAAATTAGGAAAGTGGATAGAACACACATTAGGAAAATTATCAAACTACATCACGAAGCAAGCACTAACTTGAAATTCTGAAGGGAAAAGGAAAATAGGAAGGTCGAAGAACACACTATGTCGGGAATTGGAAGCAGACATGAAAAGGATGAATAGCAACTGGGAAGAACTAGAAAGAATTGCTTAGGATAGGGCTAGATGGAGAATGCTGGTAGGCGGTCTATGCTCCTCCAGAGGGAGTAACAGGCGCAAGTAAGTAAATAAATACATTCAACAATAAACAAAAAACAAACAGTATTTCATTTTGTAATGAGGAAAAGATATAAGTGGATAGTTTTAATCTTTATTGATATAAAAACAATAATTCAACTTACTGAATAAAGTTAAATAAGCTCTTGAAACTGTTTGTCGAGAGTAGTGGTTTCAGGTTTCGAAAATGTTATATATTAATTGCTTTCTACAAGCTGTCTACAGACATCTGACTGCAAGTTACACTTATAACCAATAATCTATTCATTAAGTGATTTCTAAATTATGCCTCCATTTTATTGATCAGTTCTGCAGAGAAAATACTTTTTTTATGTAACTTGACCCACTTTTTTTCTAAATCACTACATATTATTTAGTGGTAAATATTCAATCATATTGAAATATAATGACTCCTGATACATATGGTTCGCATTCTCAATCAACTGGGCTTAATCACTGGATGAACGAGAGACTGAAGGAGCTGATACTATGTGAAGCCCACATGGTCATTCTATCCTGGATAGACCAATCTAATTATTCTTCTCAGGCTACATTTTTACCCTGTCACTTATTTGCTTATTAATCTTGACTGTTTTTATATGATCGTATGTGTGTTAATTGCTTATCCTATTGAGTCACGCTTGGTAAAAACGAGTTGGTTCGCTCGCCATTACCGCTACGCGATACATTGTTTCGTTTCACTTCGGTTTCTTCACTTCGTTTCGCTGGATGTCAGCCTGGATCAATAAGTGTATGAAATATACGTATTCAAAATCCACTCACGTATTTGACTTATTTAATTCTGTTATCCACTAACGCGGATTATGTTGATAATTATATGCGAGGATAGCCGGCATATATATTTCGATGAAAAGCAGCATATAATCCAATTGGAGTCAGATGCCGGGACTACTGAAGGACACTAGTCAAACGAATTATTCATTTTAAAAATATCCTAAAACTTAACAATATAATTTATTCATGTATCAAAATATGTTTATGTGACATTTTCTAGTCACATAGCCTGCTCCTGTATCGTTATTTTTTCATTCGGATAAATTACCATGTTAATGGATGACAGTAACTCGGTTGTTACTTCTTATTCTTTTTATTTCAGACAAGAAGATAATGTGTTCATTTCTTACTTAAGTTGTACATGCAACACAAAACTATTGATATCACCCACACGTACAAATCTGAAAATCCCGTGTTTCAATTAGTTGAAACAAAAAAAAAACAGAGAAAGGGGCAGTTACAAACAACCAAATACCTTGATAAAAAGATCTCACATGTCAAAAGTGAATGATTATGACAGTTGGTATTATTTAAGTATCAGGAGTGAATCATATATATATATATATATATAGTAGTAAAAGGCTTAATCTGTTTAGATAATCTTTCTGTATTTTGATGTCTTCCTTTTATATTTCCCCAAAGATAAGAAATGAACGTTACAAAACAGTAATCCATAAGTTAGCAGAAAAAAAATAGGAAGATAGTGAGTATTTAGTCGATGGTTATCACCAAAATGTCTTACACCTTATGAACAGTCCAAATTAACTAGAGATATAATGTAATGTAGTCACTTCACATGATGTTTACAAACAAAAACATACCGTTATTTAGATCAAAGACCGACCTGATTAGTGTTTATTGGTTTTCAATTATTGTCTAACTTCAGTTGGTTCGTGATCTCTATAACAATCAGTAATCTTCACATCCCTCAACACTAATGATAGACTGTATTTGATGTTAAGTGATTTGTGTTGGTCATTAAAAATACTTAGATTTAGTTATTGTAGTTGATCCATTTCATCAACAAATTGTCTACAGTAACAAAAAAGCTTTGTCAGTTCAATGCTTCTCGGTTTCAATACTTTTCCAGATGGCATTAATAGACAGTAAATTTTTCATCCAGTTTATACAAAGTTTTATAAAACAATTAAATGGTACAAAAAGTTTCGTAGAGATTGTTCCATTTTGCAGCTTCAATCACGAATTGACCTTATTTAGATAGCCGTTGGATAACTAAGAAACACTGGACAGCTGTTTCATCTTAGTCTGGGAAAACTAACTGTAGTTAGATATGTAAACTACTGATTACCAACTGAATGATCTAACTGTTAAGCAATCGTCTCGAAAAGTGAAGGTTAAAGATTCAATCGCCATTGAGACGTGTATGCTCATTTCTGAGAGGTCTCATACTAGAATAAAACTGCTGTCTAGTATTTCCTTATTTTTAGTATCTGTTTAATTAAGATCAGTGCGTGATGTAATTTATAATATCATTTAAATTGCATAGGTATAAACAATCACTAGTCATTTTAATCAGAGAGAGGTTTTGTGGATATTATAGTAATTTTAATAGTTGAATTCATCAGTCAGTTGAAGCTAGACCACCATGGAAAACCTGGAAGCACTAGTAGTCCTGGGTTCGAATCCTGCGGGATGAGATCGGGGATGCTCAGTGTTGAGTAGTCCTATACTAGAATGAAATGATCGTCCAGTGCTTCCCGGTTTATCATGGTGATCTAACTTCAATTGACTCATGAATTCAATTATTAAAATCACTAATCACTTTGTTAAAATGTGAAAACTATAATCAATATAGAGTATCAATATTTACTTTTGAATTTTAATATCTAAGTTAATGAATAATATTTTAAATATTTCCGCTATTTTATGACTAGTTTTATAAATATATAATCAGTAGTTAATAGAAGCCATTCACAGAAATCATTTAAGTTTTAATCTTAGTTACCAAGGTCACTAAAAATTGACCTTTGTAAACACAATAAATAAACAGTGAATTCATTCACCATAAGTTGTGCATTTAAAAAAATAAAAATAAATAAAAAGTAATTGTATGTATGTATATATGGGGTGAATGTTTAACTAAACGGACAAGTACAAAAAAACATTTTTTTTCAGTACATCATTCATTTTTATTGATCAGTTTTACGTTTAAAACAGAAATACAATGAGAATCCATAGGAGATCTGTGGGGGATTAATAATAAACAACTGATCAAAATTGATTTATCACTAAGTGGTAATTAACGTCATGTCCTTATTAGTGCAAATCGATTGCTATCGACCATGATGCAATGTGGCCACTAGTCTAGGTGACTCGACACTGCGTACACTATTGTGAGATTAGATGGTGGTT